GTCGGAGCTCAAACCCTGAGTGATTCCGGCACTTTCTAATCTAGAAGTACGGTAACACGCTAGACAACTCATCGATTAGAGAGAGGAAGGGGTCGAACACTCGAACTCAAACAAATAAGAGAGTCTAGAAGGAATCGGACAATATATCATACGGCCACAAGGAGTCATGGGCTGGGCAAAGACAAGGGAAGCCGAGTGGGCTTGGTCGGGTAGATGGCCCAATTGGGCTAGGGAATTAAATAGAGGGCTAATCTATTAATGAGGTTGACCAAAGGCACAAGGGAGGTGGACCAATACCAACTTACAATCTCCACCTTATTGATCCCCTTGGTGGTGTAGAGCACATTTGTGAAAGGGAGGGTCATCATCGCTTGTTTTTCTTGTTTATCAGTTCTTATCTAGCCACGTCCGAATTAAGAGTTCATTTACAAGATAAATGTTTTTCAAAAGTGAGACATTTAGTCCTCATATCAGCAGGACTAAATTCAGATGCAATCTTGCACAGCTTAATATCTCCTGCATCAACACTGTTTCTTGTAAAGTGAAATCTGACAATGTTTCTGGAGGACAAGGAAATAAAAGAGAGGTGGAGGTCGTACTTTGGTACCTTGTTCAATGGGAATAAAGTGCAAGGTATTGATGATCTTACTATACCAGAGTGTATGGTAAATCGGGACATCGTGAGAAGGATTCAAACAACAGAAGTTAAAGAGGCTATGAGAAAAATGGGGCGGAAGAAAGTAGTGGACCCAGATGGCATACCGATCGAGGCTTGGAGAAGTTTGGGAGAGAAAGACATTGAGTGGCTAACACGTTTCTTCAACATGATTTGGAGAAACAACAAAAATGTCAGTGAGTTAGCGGAAGAGTACTCTCATTCCCCTATTTAAAAATAAGGGTGGTGTACAAGAATGTGCCAACTATCGAGGAATTAAGCTTATGAGTCACACCATGAATCTGTGGGAGCGGGTGGTTGAGCAAAGACTTCGAAAATGTGTGAAAATTTTGGAGAACCAGTTTGGTATTATGTCAGGACACACAACAACTGAGATCATTCACCTTCTTAGACAAGTTATTGAGAAGTCCTTTGATGGGCCTTAACTAGAAAAGGCATATCACGTAAGTATATCAATATCATTATGGATATGTATGATGCTTGTACTACAAGTGTCCGCACTAGTGTAGGGAGGATCGCAGAGTTTCCTATTACTATTAGAGTGCACCAAGGATCTGCTCTGAGTACTTTGTTATTTGTTATAGTCATAGATGAACTTACGAAATCAATTCAAGAAGATATACCGTGGTGTATGATGTTTACCGATGATATTGTATTGATTGATGAGACGCAATGCGGTGTTAAAGCAAAGTTGGAAGTATGGTGATAAACATTGGAGATTAAGGGTTTCAGACTCAGCCAAAGCAAGACTGAGTATATGAAGTGCAAGTTTGGTGGAGGTAGAAGTAGTAGCGACAGTGGGATTACTCTTGATGGTAAGGAGATACCGGTGTGTGATATATTCTGTTACTTGGGCTCCATAATTCATAAGGATGGTGAATTAGATGGAGAAGTATGTCATAGAATCAGAGATGGGTGGATGAAATGGAAGAGTGCATCAGGATTCCTATGCGATCGAGGTATGTCGAGTAGACTCAAAGGTAAATTTTATCGAACAGCAATCAGGTCTGCATTAATGTATGGCGTAGAGTGTTGGGCGGTGAAGCAATGCCACATTTAAAAGATGAGTGTGGCAGAGATGCATATGTTGTGTTCAATGTGTGGACATACTAGAAAAGACCGCTTGAGGAATGAGATAATCAGACAAAAGACCGAGTGAAGGAGTCTCGTTTGCAGTGGTTAGGGCATGTGTGCAGAAGACCGGGTGATGCACCTGTTAGACGACTTGAAGGGTGGGGAGAAGAGGCAAAGAAGAGATGGAGGGGAAGACCCAAACAGACTTGGATTAAAGAAATCAGAACTGATATGCGTCTTATTCGGTTGGATGAGACATGAGAGTATGGCTTTGAACAGAGCAAAGTGGAGGACGCACATCCGTGTGGACGATTGATGTATTTTCTACCTTTTCCCTCTTTTCTCTTTTATCATTTTATCTTCTTTATCTTTTTATATTGTCATGTTCTTTTTATTCTAGCTTTTTCATGCTCTTTTATCTTTCTATCTTTTATCTTTCTTATATTCTTATGTTATTGTAATCTTATATTTATTTATCTTTATTTTATCCATTTTATCTTACTTTTTTTCGCTTCTTGTCCGTCTTCTCTGTTTGGCATCGGTATCATAGATCGATTCATGTTAGCCGACCTCGAATTCTTTTGGGATTAAGGCTTGGATGTTGCTGTTGTTGTAATGGCTATTGCTGTATTTTTGTAGTTATGGTAAAGATTATGTTGTCATAATTTTATCCATAAGATATACGATAGTATAAAGTATTATACTACGTAATACGGAGTACTATAAAAAAATCTCATGCGTGATACACCTCGTTTGGATATCGGCGTTTCAGCCGTAAAATAGCATTTTTGACCATTTTAGCTTGTTTGACCATTGCAATCGTTGTTCTTTTTGTGTTTGGCAAATAGAGGCTGGAGGAAGCGATTGGGATAAAACCGCCAAAAATGAACACACTACTCACCGAAGCGTTTTGGTATTGACGATTTGAAGCAATTACTGAATTCCACCGATGCCCTCTTATTTTGTTGCTGCTGCAACCCTTTGCCGTTTCAATCTTGTTTCGGTGCTCCTCTCTAATTTCTCCTCTGCAAGACGCACATCGGATTGAAAGACGCACACCGGATTGACACTTGCAGATAAATCTCAAATACACGTATTACTCTTCTCCTCTAGAATAATCCATTGGATTAATCCATTGGATCTCAATTGATTTGAATGGGTATTGAAATTTGTAAATACGTATCTATATACTTTGTAATACTCTGCGGATATCTCAAGCTATTTATCCTTCTATTTTGAGTTCATTAATTTTTATTATTATGTTCTTATTTAGTTAATTTTGAAGTACAATTTACATATATTATGTACGTATGTATTAGTATAGTACTAAATTTAAATTAATCAAAAAAATATGCTAAAACTTATATGTCCTTTTTGGTCTTTTTTCCTATTAACCGCTGTGAGCAAACAGCTATTTAGTACCCGCTAATAAAATCCGCCATCCACTAACCGCTGAGTGCCAAACAGGCCCACAGTTGTGTAAACAATTTATGTTGAAAAACTCAGAGCTTAATACATTGGGAGTCTAGGATGGTCGAAATGATTTTATATACAGATCTTGAAGGACCGCCATTTAGTACTTCAACCACGCATTGATGGGTCCTCTAATGCAGAAGTCCTCTCTATAGTCGAGGTTTATATTCAAACAGCAAATAAAAACATGTCACCATTTACAGCCTCTTCATCTGAATATCTGCAATGCTTCTAACAATGGCCACGATGACAACTATCCCTCAAAAGTACATATATTCGAACTCGCACAGAAGACAACTAAATAGTATTCAGAAATCATATCCATAACATATGTTAGTAGATTTCAAATTAGCCGATTAGAAGTGCTAATGTAAATTAGAAAATTCTAAGGCTAAATGAAAACATAGATGGTCTTGGTGACTGCATAAATTTCAAAGATCAATTCACACGTCTTTATCCAAGCATAATGACAAAAACAATACTCAGAATTTTACATCAATGAGAAGATTCTCTAGAATTCATCATGTCTTATTAATGAGCAAATCTTGTATCGATCATCTGATATTGCAAGAAACACATCCCTCCATCCAAGCTATTTGAGATACGAGAATCAACTCTAGAAAACTAATACGTAGTAAATGATAGAGTTGATGGTGATAATGAAGAACATTCAATTATCAAGCATGTGAAACTGAAAAAAAAAACACATTAGAAAAAGATTTATAGTGGAGTGCCATATTGGGACAGTGGTGTTTCATTGATGCAGAGAAGAGTGAAGAATGAGCATAGGAAAAGAAATACCTGGATGGATGGATATTGAAGGACTGTGAATTGTCAAATTTAGGAGGAAGCCAGAGCCGAAGGTCACATTGTGAAATCATTACCCTTCAAGGTGGGTATTGAATTATTGATAATTGTATAAAGAAAAAGCTTGGACTTGAGTCCAAATGTATAATGTGAAGGCCAACACTCACACATCTTATTAATTTGACGTTTCTGATAAGGACAATCAATTATCATCAAGAGCACTCACACAAGCAAAACATAGGGGCCTGAATAAATAGAAGAATGCCAGATAGTTGTTTATTTCTCATAATAAGCACAATGAAATAGTGGTTAAGATCCCTTTGGAACTCGGGAAATATTAAGGAAATAAAAATAGGGAGGTAAAACTGAGGGATGTAGGAAGAATATAAATTTTGAGTACATGTTCAAAATTTGTTTCAGATATTTGTTCTAACTCATTTTATTTCTTTCTTTATGAAATCATTAAGAAATCCAGTTGTATTTAAGAATTTGAAACGTAATCATATTTCAATATTTTTCTTACCATTTTTCAAGGTAAAACCAAACATAAAAGGCACCTTTTGTTGGCATTTCTCGTTTCATTTCCCTGATATTTTCCATGATTCAAACATGCACTCAAAGACAGTAGAAGAGAGGAAGAGAGCAGTACAGAGGAGTCATTCAGCCAAGAGATGAAAATAGTGAGAGAAAGGGACTTACAAGGTAAAATAAAGCCAACAGCAAGCAGCAGCGAGGGGGTGAGTGCAGATGAATACCCACCAATGGCAAAGGTGACGGTGACCATTTGCAGCCCAAATGGAAAGGAGAGGAGTGTACATGTGTGAGAGTTTAGGTTGAAAACAGAAACAGATATACCGTGTCCACAAACCCTTTTCAATTTAGCCGAAGAGGTTTCTCCCATTCAAAAATGCATTTTAAACATGAAAACCAGCAACTCACAACCACGCCAAGAAAATAACACAGAGAGATGCTTCAAACTCTCAAAGCGACATATTTATTCATTTTCCAAAAAGCAATCTACTTGTGTGCATTTACACATCAAAATACAGTAGTTATCTTTACAAATAAAGAATAAGAAGGATGCAATCACAATAAACAGGAATTCTAGAAATTGGAATCAGTAATGATCCCAATTCTACATAATATGGATAAACCAGGTCATGAGTACACCCAAAAGAATGCAATTGTATCACAAAGTTGATCTGCACCCCTCAGAATTATCCGTAGCATACCACCTCGGTCCATGTAAATAGTAATCTAACATTCCAATCAAGTGATCAACTCAATGAGATAATGTCTCAATTGCTCCAACCCTTTCAGCCTCATAAGTGTTCCAAGAACCTAACCAGCCATAAACTCCCCAAAATATGAGCTTTTGAGTTTTCACATTGCCTTTTTTCAGTTTTCGAGAACAATAATAAAATCCGTATTGTAGCACTATCACAACATTAGAACTCACACTTCATAGTCCTTGGGAAAATGAGCAATACAATCATATATGCATAACCCCTAGACTTGGCAGTGGCAGCTGGCAAGAAAATCTGGTGTAATAGTAGTACCACACTCACACTGAAACATATTCCGCACAACCACATAACCAACAAGTGGAATCAATAACAATCTCCAAATAAATGTACTTCACATAAGGCATGTTGACAGATCTGAACAGTATAGGTACACAAGGAATGCTGTGCAAAAAGACGAATAAATGTCAGGTTCAGCGATGGAGACGTGATGAACCTTCAAGAACTTCTAGATATTGTTGCAGAGTGAAGCCTACAATTTCAAAATGGGAGTGAATAATTCAAAACTCATTCATCAAATTTCAATGAGTGCAAGAAGGCGCAAATGGAACACCCTAATGAGGGTTGCATTCTTTGGAGTAAAAATCATTCTTCTCAATCAAGCCTCTCAGCATCGCACGACTAAAGTTCGGGCTGTTAGGGTCACTTGTCTGTGACTCGCTTGACGAATCTGCAGTCTGCGGAGGCTTTAAGCACAAGCAACAATCCCCACCACTGCTACCTAGCGCCGCTAGCCCAAAGCACCCCGGAACACACGAAGTGCTGCTCCTCTGCTTACTCCTCTTCGCACTCCTCTTCACCTTTCTGAAGCAGAAAAGAGGGGATTTTTTCCCACCCTTCCTATTATCAACATTACCATCCCCCTCTATTCGCTGATTGGTATTGATTCCCCCACCGCCAGCGCCGCCTGCCTCCTCATTGCTGCTGCCGTCGCCGCTTCGTACGTCATCTCGACTCGATCTACATTGATGTTCACCGTTAGAAACCGACATAAAACACGCGGGCGATGAATTCGATCGATTCAAGACCATTTAATGACAAAACCCGAAGTCGTAATGCCGCCGGAAATCATGATCGGGCATTTCCATGGCAAAAGATCGAGGCTTATCATGAGAAAAACCGTCTGGTGAAGCCCGTGCCCTGTTAAGGCCGATTCCGGGGGAGAATTCAAGTCGTTTCGGCGAATTTGATCAGATAAAGATGCCAAAGCTGCATCAGGCCAAATTGCGGTGGTCGATGTCTTGGATGATAATAACTGCTCCTTATCGCAGAAGGTTTGATTGATAATAACTACTCCGTATTTTGCAATAAATAAATAAATAAATAATAGACGACGTCCTTTCAATAAATCGGTAAGATGATTCCTATTTACGAGTTTTTGGGCCATTTGACTTGAGCAGCTGAGCAACTGACACGACAACGAAACAGATTCGCCTTCTTTTTTTCTTTCAATTCTTTTGACGTGATCTAGTTAAATCCGATGTAAGAAGAGGCATGTCCGCATGTTTAGTGTCGAATTGGTTTCATTTGGATTGACTTTGGGTAAACTCGAAAATTATTTGTAAGAATTAGGATATGAAAATAGAGAAAATTGCCTATATAAGACTAAAATAATGCAAAATTTCAAAAGTATGATTACTATGTTTTATTTTTTAAAATAGGACTTCAGATTACAATTTTGTCCTTCCTATTATTAAATCCAAAAGCCCTGCATCGATCACACACATCTATCGTCTCAGCTCTCTCCCATTTCATCGATAGTAGTTGGACCATAGTCGCACCACCACTGCTCCTCCGCCATAAACAGTAGGCAAACTGTAGGCGCACCGCTGCCATGAAAAGATGGATTGATGCCCTTCCGCCATCGACGGTAGCCGTACGGTGAAGCTAGGTAAATTTATTCTCCTTCTTCTCTCATCCTCTTCTTGTCCTCTCCTTACTACTCTGTTTTTTTTTATTTTCTATCGAATCAAAATTTGGATTTGAAATTTCATCCTCTTCTTATCCTCTACTTGCTTTCTGTTTCTCAAAATTTGAGTTTGAGAATTTTAGATGGACTAGACTTCCAAAAAGAACAATTGATTGGAAATATCTCATTTTGAATTTTTATTTATTTATTATTAGAAAAATGTCACTTTCAAAATCTGAGAATGTCATAATTATTGGTTATTTAAAAAAATGTCACCGTTACAGCATTTTTTTATTTCTCATCTAAAATTCCATATATTTACAACTGAAAATGTCATTTTCAATTTATGTCATTACTCTTATCAAGATGACATTCTCCTTCAAATCACTTACCTAAGAAAATGTCATCTTAGTGCATAGAAATAACATTTATTTGTCAAACGGGACAAAAAATATGTCACTCTAAAATTTGTAGTTTTGGAGTAATATAGACATCTAGACAGATATAATGACATTAAAGTGACATTTTTTCTAAGTACTAGTAGATATGGCATTCTCAGAGTCCAAATTAATCAAAATTAATTAATCAATAAATAAAGAATTTCAAATCTAAATATTTTTAATCATTGATCGATTGAAATCCCTCTTTTCATGTAAATGTTTTCAAATCTAAAATATTTTTTTATTTAATTTGAAAATAAAAAAACAAATAACAAATCAAAACAATCCAAAGAAAAAGAAGATGCAGAGAAAGAAGATGCAGAGAACCAGGAAGAAAATAGGGACCAGAAAGATGTAGAAGAAGAAGAAAGAAAAAGAAGATTACACGCTCTATCGTTGTAGAAATCGCAATAGAGATAGCTTTGAAGACTTTTAGAGCTAGCTATGATCGATGGTAGAACTTTGGACCATGGCAGAGGGAAGAATTGTTACGGAGTAGTTGCTGTCATGGAATGTAGAGTGAGAGAGATATTGGAAGTTGGGATCGACTATACGTAGAGGCGAGATAGAAGGGAGGGTAATTATAGTAGGGTGGGTAAAAATGTAATCTAGAGTCCTATTTAAGAAATAATAAACTTAGAGTCCTAAGTTGGAGTTTATGTCATGTTTTAGTCTTATTTATGACAATTACTTATGAAAATATGAAAATGAAGGATCAAAAACTCGGTCTGAGTCGGAGTTTTGATATCCTGATTCGGTATCAGGTAAGGTTGTGACACTGCACCCGAACGTCCTGAAAATTTAAATTTAATTTCAAAGCTTATGTATTGAATTTCCCTATTTTTAAACAATTGTAAAACGATTAAAGTTTTACGGAACGTATGATTAATCATATTACTATTTGAGCTCATATAATGGTAATGGACTTCTAAATAATTAATTAGGCCTTATTATTGATATTGGGGCCCAACATCCTTAAATAAAGATATACAACCCCTCGATACAATGTAAGTGCGGTCGGGCAGCCCAGATGTTATTTTGGGCCTAACCTGCTAAAAATAGTAATTGGTCAAGAATGGCATCCTAGACCCATTGGAGGGTGACCCACAAGGTTGGTAGCCCAGATATATAAATATTAATATCATAAGTGAATGATGGAATGATTGGAGAAGAATACAAATGCTTATGGTCCCATCTTTGGCATTATTAGGCTAAATAATGGGAGTAGAGTTTTCTTTTGTAATAATACATCAAATAAATTATTGGGACCACCCTACACATATTAGATATCAATAATATATATGATGTAGAAGGTTGACTTGTTCTAAATAAATTGGGGAGAGTACAAAAGTACATGTTATGACAAAAGTACAAAAGGACCCATCTTTCCACTTTTGGATGTATTGGTAGAAAGTTTACTCTCAAATTAATTAGGGGACATGAGAGTACGTCCCACACCTTCCTATCACCTGCAAAACAGGTAGGATAAGTTAGAACACATAAATGGGATGGACCTATTGAGTTGAGAGCTCAAACAATACAAAAGAGAAATAAAAGAGGAGAATCATACCATGTTTGATTGGAATCAAACACCCTACCTATTTTTTGTGAACCACATGTGAGGATAAGCATTTGAGAGCTTCTAAACACCTCTCCCTCACCCCCCATTCGAACTAAGAGGATAAGGAGGAAGGGAGAGCCGCACAACCCAAGAAAAAGGAAGAAGAAGGAGAGCTGGCCGCAGGGATTCATTCCAGTTCGTGGAGCTCACTGTTTGCAATCCATAGAGGTGCCAAAAGAAACCTCTCGAAACGAGGAATCCATAGAGGTGCGGTTTGCGTAAAACGGAGCAGTTTAAGGCCTCCAAATCATCCGAACAGAACGCAACCTCGCAGAATACGTTTTTGGTATTCAAAGTAAGTTTGAATCCAAAATCTTCCTTTCTATTGCCTAAATCCTATGAATGATTGAAGAAATATTATACACTGGTTTAAGTGTATAAAATGTTATTATAGAGTAACTTTTATTGTTGGAAAGGTTAGATACTAACCTAGACAAAACCTTGAAAGGTTAGGGAACGAATTCACCGGAAAACACCCGTTCTAGGGACTGTTTTCGTGTCGACGTTTAGGGGTTGAGCTAGAACTGTGAGGAGGCTGCGTAACACTCAATTTTAAGCAAGGAATCAGTTCTTAATCCACCTTGGCCGAAGGTTTGACCATTGGATCAAGAAGGAAAAAATTTAAAGCCCATTTAAGGTGAGGATCGACATCTAGTTGCTTACAACTTGTAGGTTAAGCATGAGATTACCTAAATGCCTAAATCATGTTTTTCATGGATTATAATGACTGAATATTGATGAAATATTGATATACTAGATAAGGAATGAAATTGCAAATGATTTGAAATCATATTGATAAAAAATGGAGTTAAATGAACTATTGTGTGAAATAGGCATTTTTACTCATGTGTGAATTGTGTAGGTACATACATGATTAATTGTGTATTACATTGGATGAGAAAGTTGCTGCTACATATCTCTAAATATTTAGGGATTTACAAATGAAATATATGATTGATGGGAAGAATCTTAATAGTATTGGAATACTAGTTAATGATTATTTGTAATTGTTAAGGAATTGAATCTAAGGATTTGATTGTAAGTGATGTACTTGATTGTGGTTCAAGTGACTAAATTGATGTAATATGATGCTAAGATCATGATGAGGCAGTCTGTAAGGATGTCCCGAAATAGATTATTGATATTACAATTCTAGGCATAGCGAGTGCTTAGGAATTGGGGTCTATGCCAATGCAAGGAGATGTACTTGAGCCCGATGCTCTAGAATTGCATTGGGTAGACATAAGGATTTGGTTCAGCCCATGTAAGGAGATGTACTTGAGCCCGATGTTCTAGAATTGCATGGGTGAACATGACATCGGAGATTGGTGGAGTAATTGACTTGTGAATGATGTGCATGGTGATATAGTCGAGTTGGACTCGAGGAATACAAACATGTGTGTTAGGATTGAACCCTATGTATTGTCGTGATTAGGGGTCACGGGGTTTGTGTTATGTTTTGTAAACGAACTTTAGACCATTGGCCGACTACTTGACTTTATATATAAAGTAAGTATATTTTAAAAAGGGGTAACTTGGGGGTCTTGATGATATATTATCATCCTATTTGAGGGTCTTGTGTTTGAAATACTTGTTGTATATCTATTAGATGTCATCAACACCAGTACTTTATAGCCGTATAGAGTACTGACCCCCTTTCGGGGGGCGTCCCACCACCATTTCAGGTTGAGGCTAGAGCTTGCTACCTGTGCTTGTTGATCAGGCGATCATCTCGGAGGGAAGACTTGGTTCGTGCTTCCTCCATTCTGTTTTTAAACATGCTCATGGATATTGTTTTTCATTATGGAGCCTGCGTGCTCGTGTTTGCCCTGTGTGGCACTTGTTTTCAAACTATGATTTCCGCTGCGTATTCAATTACTTATTATGTATGTTTATGGATGACTTATGTGTGAATGATATTCGAGACGCCTTGTATAATATGGATGATTTAGACTGCGGTTGACTATTCATATTGTACGGCGGATTGTTGACATGTCCGGATTGGTCCGGGGCATGACAATTTAATTGGTATCAGAGCCTTAATCCATAAACTTCATAATGAAGACAAAATTCTCTTTTCCAAACGATTTTGAAAACCATGAGCATAAACGTTTTGTACTTATAGAACTTTTGGTACTTGAGCTGCAAGGCCTCTAATTGTTAAGATGGTACCCTTAGCAATTGGTATGGCGGCAATTCGAGCCAAGTAGTGTCTTAAGTACCTATCCGTCAATTGACATTTGATACGAGTCTAGTGACTCTTTCCAAAATTTCTTTCAGAAATGGACGGTGGTGGCAAGGTTACGAGAAGGAACCTGACGGGCCGTGCACCGGTGGGGACCGGGCAGGGAAGCCGTGG